CTCAGCTCCTCCCGCTGATTGAGGTAAACCCTAAACCCTAAACCCTAAACCCTAAACCCTAAACCCTAAACCCTTAACACTAAACCCTAGGCTCTCAAACCTAAACCCTAAACCCTAAATGGGCGCATTTCTTGCTGCTCTTGCCAGCCTCCGCGCTTCGTTAGAAATTTTTAAAAGCATCTCTACTACTGCTGCTGCTGCTGCTGCTGCTGCTGTTGCTGCTGCTGCTATTGCTGCTGCTGCTGCTGCAGGTGACAGAGGGTCTCAGCGGCGGGTCTATAGATGCCTGTCTGAACTCTATTTGTGAGGGGGCCCCCAATTTGCTGCAGAAGTTAGGGGCCCCACAGTTGTCTGCTGCATGCAAGCAGCAGCAGCAGCAGCAGCAGCAGCAGCAGCTGCAGCAGCAGCAGCTGCAGCAGCAGCAACAGCAGCAACAGCAGCAAAGAGGGACTCTGACGTCCGGCCAAGACAGCCACCGCAGCAGCAAGCAGCAAGGGTCTTTCTTGTCCGTGCCCCAGTCCTCCATGGAGAGCAGCAGCAGCAGCAGCAGCAGCAGCAGCAGCAGTAGCAGCAGCAGCAACAGCAGCAACAAGGCAACAAAGGGAACGCTGCTGCTTCTGCTAGAGGAGCTGAAGACGCAGCAGCAAATGTACCCCTACACCTGGCGGCAGCAGCAGCAGCAGCTCGAGGCCTTCGCAGCGCGAGCGAGCAGCAGCAGCTAGTGCCTCGTTTTGAGTGCTGCTTTCTCGAGCCAAAAAGGACAAGAGAACAATTCAAATAAATAAATTTGTCTCTTTTAATTAATTAATTTAAATTAATTAAATTAAATTAACTTATTTTTTTTATTTGTTTATTTTGTCTTTTTATTTTAAATCCCTCAAGGAAATAATTTCCTTTCCACATCTGGCAGCAGCCGCACCTGCTGCAGCAGCAAACCGCCACCAGGAGCAAGCAGAGGCTTGCTGCTGCTGCTGCTGCTGCCACTGCTGCTGCTGCTGCTGCTGCTGCTGCTGCTGCTGCTTACCGCAAGGAACTGGCCAGGGGTGAAAAGAGACAGAAGACACAGCAGCAGATTCGACGCAGCAAAAGGGAGATGGTGGAGGAGACGATCCCCGGTGCTTCGAGCGGAAGTGCTGCAGCAGCAGCAGCAGCAGCAGCAGCAGCAGCAACAGCAGCAGCGAATATATGGACGCAGACAGAGCACAAATTGCTGCAGCAGCAGCATCTGCTCCAGAATTTGCAGCAGCAGCAACAGCAGGAACCGCGCCGAAAGCTGGATTGGCACAACAACAGCAGCAGCAGCAGCAGCAGCGGCAGCAGCAGCAGCAGCAGCAGCAGCGGCAGCAGCAGCAGCCCTACGCTGAAGTTGTGGCAGCCCTCAACAAGTGCAGCAGCAGCGCGAATACACCCCATGCAGAACTGCTGCAGCAGCTGCTGCTGCTGGCTTCCGCTTGCTGCTGCAGCAGCATCAGCAGTAGCAGAAGTTCCCACAGCAGGATCGCCACCTGCTGCTGCTGCTGCTGCTGCTGCTGCTGCTGCTGCTGCTCGCCTGCTGCACTTGAGCACTCTAGAGTCCTGCAGCAGAGCCCAGCTGCTGCTGCGTAGCAGCGGGTGCTGCTGCTGCTGCAGCGAGAGGGTGTATATGTACGTTTTGCCCACCACCAGTCGAGGCAGCAGTAACGGCTGCTGCTGCTGCTGCTGCTGCTGCTGCTGCTGCTGCTGCTGTTGCTGCTGCTGCTGCTGCTGCTGCTGTTGCTGCTGCTGCTGTTGCTGCTGCTGCTGTTGCTGCTGCATGAGACTAGCTGCAGCAGCCGGTGTTGCTGCGGAAGCCTCCTGGCTTCCTGCTAATGGCTCACAACCGCTGTGCTGCTGCTGTTGCTGCTGCTGCTGGTGTTGTTGCTGCTGCTGTTGCTGCTGCTGCTGTTGCTGCTGCTGCAGCGGCAGCTCCATATGCTGCAGCTGCTGCAAATCCGCGACACGCCGAACCCGCACATCTGGAGGCAGCAGGGCATTTAGCTGCTGCTGCAGCTGCTGCAGCACCGCTGGAGGCAGCACCTGCTGCTGCTGCTGCTGCTGCTGCTGCTGCTGCTGGTCTAGCTGTCGCTGCCACTCTTGCTGCTGTGGCTGCTCTCCAGGCAGTAGCCCTTCCTGCTGCTGCTGCTGTTCCTGCTGCTGCTGCTGCTGCTGCTGCTTTCGGCGTTGCAGTTGCTGCTGCAGCAAGTGATGCCAATAGGGAATAAGGGGAGAGGCGACCTGACACAACTGCAGCAGCAACAGCAGCAGCAGCAGCAGCAGCAGCAGCAGCAAAAAACAGCTCAGCGAAAAACAGACCTCCTGATCCCGACTAAAAACAGCAAAAGCAACGGCAGCAGCAGCAGCAGCAGCAGCAGCGGCAGTACCAGCAGCAGCTGCTGCAGCGGCAGCACCGTCACTAATAGCAGCGCTACAAGCAGCAGCAGCAGCAGCAGCAGCAGCAGCAGCAGCAGCAGCAGCAGCAGCAGCAGCAGCTCACAGCGCCTGCTGCATGAACTCCAGTGTCTGTACGGCTGGCTGCCCGTATTCTGAGAGCAGCAGCAAAAGCTGCAAAGCGATCGACCCGCTGCTGCCGCTTTGCTTCCTTCTGCTGCTGCTGCTGCTGCTGCTGCTGCTGCTGCTGCTGCTGCTGCTGCTGCTGCTGCTGCTGC